CTTTACCTCGCACCTCCTGAAAACCATTAAACACGATGGGTCTAGGTCGCTGCCCTCAGCAACACTCTGCCTTTGCTCCTCTGTCCTGGCTGTGTGACAGCCCTCTGCAGCTCTCCAAACAAACACCATCACCCCTCCTTCCCTAATTCACACTCTCTGCTGATAAGGTAAGATGGAGGGAATCTGAGGAAGTGCCTGAGACACGCCCAGTAACTGTCCTCTACGTGTTCGGAACACCATGTCCCGTCACACCTCAGATCCCCCATTCACCATCATGTAATACGTGACACCATAACGCTTCCTTACCAGATGTGGACACGGGCCCTCAGCTCATCTTCATCCTCCTCCTGTGACCACTTCTTTCCTGACGTTTTCATTTTGATTTTCTTCTTTGGCTACAAACCGAGGTTTTCTGTTTTTAAAGTAAAAATCACAGGTGCTGTACCCATAAATTTTCCATGTATCTTTTTTTTTTTGAAGGAAAGATTGGCCTAGAATAAATCTCTTGATTCAAATTTACTTTTCCTTCTCATATATGTTGCTCTACTTGAATCTGATATTAAGATGTTTTTTCTTTCTTTCTTAAATCTTCTCCATCATTTGTTTGGCTCCATTTTTCCACTAATTAGTCTTGTTTCATGTTTGTTAAAGACATCCTTGGTATTCTATTGCTTGAGATTTTTATGTGGGGGAGTATCTCCCTGTTTTCTTTATTCCTCAGTGAGTATAATATTCTTGATTTACATTTTCTTTTTTTTTCCCCCCAGAACTTTTGAAACCATGTTTTACAGACTTAAGTAACAGCAAAGCATTTTGAGACCATCTGACTTTTTTCCATTTGTAGGTGTTTTTCCCTCCTGAATACCTAAATAATTCTTTCTTTATCCCTAAAATTTAAAAGCTTCGCCTGCCTACTTTCTAGTGTTCATTTATTCTGAGTCATTGGATCAAATATGGCATGCTTTAAAATTTGCAGACTCAATTCTTCCTTTATTTCAGGAAGACTTTCTTCAATTGTGTCTTTGAGGACAATTTCGAAGGGGTTCTCTGGCTCAAAAACACCAGCTGTTGTAATGTTGCAATGTCTTTGTGGGTCCTTCAAATCTAGAATCTTTTTTATTCCTACATTTGCTACTGCAAGCACGCAAACATTTACCCTGTAACTACTTTAATTTTTAGCTTTGTTTCTATTCACATGAAATTTGTAATTGAATTACTACCTCTGCCATAGCATAAAGAGTTGTTTTGATCCTCCACTTGTTCTCTTACACCTGTGAAATTCCTTTTTCTCTCATTTTGTTTCTTTCATCATTTCAATTTTGGGTGCTTTATTCATATTTTCCATTCTTTAAGCAAAATAACTTTGCGGCAAATGTACTTTTGTTCCTTTGGTGATGTATTCTACTCCATCCACTTTTTTGCAGCCTGAAGTGACAGGGGAGGGACGCAGGAACTGGAGTTCGGCTCAGGCTCTCTCTTTGTTGATGGCTCTATTTTCTGAGATTTTTATAAATATTTCATTCCAGAGTTCAATCCACCTTGAGAGTAGGGAAGGGCACACTCCTGATAAATAACAGCACAAGCTCCCAGTCAGTCCAGTCTGCTCAAAGCCTGTAAGCCTGGGTGTGAACACAGACCCCTTGTATCTGTCTATTACCAGCCCTGAGTTTTCTATGTAAATATCACAAGTTTGAAAATGAAAACAATGATTCAAAGAGAGAGAGAGAGAGAGAGTGTGTGTGTGTGTGTGTATGTGTGTGCCTTCATCCTCTAACTTTCTTTAGCTTCTGGCCAATGTTTTTATATAAAACTTTGAATAATCCTATATAACAAAAAACAAGCATTTCATAAAATATAATACTGAAAGTCAAAAGGAGCAATAGCATTCTTTTTAAAATATCTTTATTGAGATATAATTTGCAAACCACAAAACTCACCTATTGATGTTTAATTATTCTGAGTCGTGCAACTATTGCCACAATCTAAGGTGAGAACATTTTAAGGTCATATTTGATTTAAGGTTAGAACAATTTTTGACACACTAGGATGGAGGCAAGGTCAAAATGAAAAGGATACATTTCATCCTAGAGGGAGAATAGAAGCCACGCGACTGAACGGGGAGGGAACACAGCATCAGAACAGCCGTGCCCATGGGCACTGCCAGAGCTACAGCCCCTGTGAGAGCCAGGAGTCTACTAGGTATTCCAGGTTTGATATCTGTGTCATCAAACCTGGAATCCCAAACCTATGACATCAAACTGATTCTGTTAGTAATTTAGGAAGCACTCTGGCTTCCCATTCTCTAGTTATGAATGGTATCGTCCTGCTCAGGTGAATAGGTATCAATTTCTGGGTAAGGTACAGCACGTGCAATTGGCCTGTAAGGACTCCAGCATGTGTGCCCAAGAGTAGCTTAAGTGTCAAAGGAGATGAATGTCCCTGCTTTGCCATGATATAGTTTTTTAATATTAAATTTCTTAGAAATAAAGAAGACCATGTGAGGGATCACTAAAATATGATATTCTTGAAAACTAAATTATTCTGAATTAAAATTTGCAAAGAAGACATCTCCTTTGTATATTTTTAAGAAAATATATTAAACTGTGCTGTGAGAGTTAAACGAAAAGATTTACAAGTTAGTTGAGACATGAAATTTGCAATTTATAAAGGTTCTAAAGCTGAAATTGTCAAGCTAGTCTTAACAAGCTCAAATACTGTCTGGGAATCCAGTTTCCAGCAGAACTTCTCCTGTGCCTTCCTGACTCACTGCACGTGATCTGGAGCAGGACTCTCTGCAGGACCCTGCATATCCATGGTTGTTTACTGCTGGAAGGTGCCTTCACCCACTGCAAACTCTTCCTCCCCTTCAGTTTAACAATTGACCTGGCTGTGGAGAGTTCTGGATATGGCATCTTCACCCATGATCCCAACCTGTGATTCAAATTAGCAATATCTTGATGTATGCCACAATTCCATTTGTAAGTAGGCAGTAAAATAGAACAAAAGCAAAAAAATCATGTCTGTGGAACAATAAGATGAATTTCTGCAAGATGCATTTGCCCAAAGACACATGGCATATCATTATAATTCCATTTGTAAGTAGGCAGTAAAATAGAACAAAAGCAAAAAATCATGTCTATGGAACAATAAGATGAATTTCTGCAAGATGCATTTGCCCAAAGACACATGGCATATCATTATCACCCTCAGATCTGCAAACGTGGAGACCAGATCAGCCAGCCTGGAATCCCTGCAGCCCGCCAGGCCTGAGATAATGCTCTCAATAAAATGCAGACTGGGAACAGGGAATTTAGGGGGATCAGCACAGTCATGAGATCATTCAAAACACACTTCTGCAAGCAAGTTTCTAGAATCTGTGCTGTATAAAAGCAAAGGACATTGACTATAATTTATTTGTATTATAATTTATCAAATTATAATTTATCTAGGTTGTTCTGTTTTGACTTGATTTAAATTCTGTTCCAACATATTGTTCGTAATAAAAATGCTTAAATATTGTACTCCTGTGGGCAAGTTTTTAAAAAATGGTAGAAGAATTTGCCAAAGACTAAATGTATGTGCCCTCCCCCCCAAATTCCTATGTTGAAGCCCTAATCCCTGATGCAACAGTATTAGGAGGTGGGGCCTTTGGGAGGTGATTAGGTCATGCGAGTGGTGCTCTCATGAATCGGATCAGTGCCCTTATAAGAAAAGGCACAGGAGAGAAGCTCCCTCTCTGCTTAGAGTACACAACAAGCAGGCAGCTGTCTAAAAACCAGGAAGAGAATTCTCACCAGAAAACAAATCTTGCAGGTTCGCTGTCTCCCTCCTGAGTGCAAGGCTGGCTCCTCCTCAGGCAACAGTCAGCTTAAACATCACCTCCTGGCAGAGGCAGACCCCAACCACCCAAGTACAGGGGCCCACCGGGCACTGGCTACCACATCACTCTACTGTACCCACTGCCCACTGTCCTCATCACCTTATTAATGATGCATCTTACTTTCTGATTTGTTTATTTTCTGCCGTCCCCATTAGAATGTGAATTCTGAGAGAGCAGGACAGTGCCAGCTGTCTGCCTGTGGACTCCCCAGCACTTCAAATGAACTTGACAAATAGGAAAAGTTCAGTAAATCTTAGCAACATCACAATTAAAATAAATCAACTGACAAATGTATAAGTATAAATTGAGAAATTCTGTCAAGAAGAGATATATTATTAACAACAAGAACAGCAGTGGTAATTGTGCTCCATGAGAACATGCCAGTTAAACAGAGCACTGGGCAGAGAGTGGGGAGGGACAGACTCCACGGAGGGGCTGCTGTGTCTGGGGGACGTGAAGGCTGAAGGGAGCTAAGCTGGTGAGAGAAACAGTCCTGAGGCAGGCCTGGGCACCCAGAGCTGTCCCTGTAACAAGCCAGGATGAAATGTGCCTCCCACACTCCAGTCACTTTGGAAATTGAAGGTCCAGTTGTTATTTATAATGTGATAAGCATTGTGCCTATATTTGCTATAAAATATTCTGTTACTTAGGTCCCCAAACACATTTTTCAGAATGCTACCATTTACCATTTCCTACCACAGAAATATTTTGCTCGGAGCACTGTTTTTGAACTGATCAGAAATCACCACGACAATCCCAGGCTAACACAAGCATTTCACCCAGCAACTTCCTCTACAAAGCTTTCCATTGTCTTAAATTACCCAGATTAAAATAGACTTGCCAAGAAAACACTTATTTTATGAATAGTTGAGGAACAAAAGTTAAGAAACGAGGCATTGTCCTTCCAATTAAAACTAGGATTAATATAGTAAAAACAGAGTAAAATTAAAATTTCCAAAAAGACGGACAGAAGATGAGGACGAAGGTGAGCCTTATGGGTTTTGCTGGTTGCAGGGAAAGATAACAGACTCAAAGCCTCAGATTAAAATTGCATGTTTAGAATTTAACACACAAAATCAGAAGAGGTAGAAAGCTCCTTGGGGAAGCGTAGAGCTCCTACCTGTGGCTAAGTAGATGATGTGGACGAGCATGTCTCTGCCCTGCACCACGTCAACGGCGACGTGGGAGAAGCGGCTGTTGTCCTCCATGAAGGCTGGCACTGTGGTCACCGGCTGCACCACCTCGTGCATCAGAATGAACTTCTGAGCATCCTGCAGGTTTCTCTCTGTCAGGTTCACGTACAGGCCCTGGTCCACGGTGCCGCACTGCAAGGGAAGGCAGGCCGTGTTACCAACCAGCTGCCTGGACACCCATGAGTGATGGTGGCCACCTCACAGTGGTGACTTGGAAACTGAACGTCACCACCCATACCTGAATGTGCAAGCTTCCCTATTTCCTTCAAAGTCCCCACTGTTGTGTCCCTCCCATTTTAAATTTGAACTCATTATGTTTGGGGAGTCTCTCAACTCCATCATAAATGAACTGATCAGAAGTTAAAAAAAAATAAAGTGGAAGTCATTGCTAACTTTAATTTAAACAGCAGATGCATGGAAACTACTCATCACCTGTGGAGTCACTTGAGAGCTGTCCAGCTAAAGGCACACTATTATGCTAATGCCTCTGTCTGATAAATCAGGTACCCAAATTGAAAATGCAGCAGTCGAAAACGCCATGTAGATTTCTTAGTTTTCCTATTGTAGCAGCGGGTGTGCTACGAGCAAGACACAAATTCCACAGTGAGAGAATCACACCATTTCAATCTGCAAACCATGTAATGTCATTCTAATAACATTCACACGGGAGACGGAAATACTGATGCCCTTATTGCTTTGTGCTTGTACTCAGAGCTAGAAGAAATTTTAAAAATTCATTTAGAGTTTAGGAATCTGAGAAGTACCGTGGCAAATTTGCAAGAAGTGAGGGAGATAAGGAGATAAGGGAAACAGGGAAGGAAGGAAAAGGAAGAAAGGAAAAGGAAGAAGGAAAGAAAGAGATTTTCCTATGGAGAAAATATCACAAAGATGAGTCTGGGATACACAAGGAGAAAACGAAATTGCTGGCGGGTGTTACATACGACAGTTTCTGACAAGGAAGAGGTAAAAAGAGGGTAGAAAAGAAAGCACAGCTTTGCTGGAGCAGAGCTCAGAATCAGAAAATTTCCACCAATACCTCTCATTTCTTTCATAAACTTTAAATCCTGGTACAAATAGTGACTGATTCTCAGCAGAACTTCATATAAGCAGGTTTGATAGAAATGAATTTCTGAGTCCATACTGCCTGAAAATACCATTTATAACATGTCATCTCTAATACTTGGTTTTATAACAGGTTAAAGGTGCAAAAGTGTAAGATGGAAATTGCTTTTTTAAAGTAGATGATATTTTTGTAGTATTTGATAAAATGCCCTACACGCCATAAAATGATAGGTCAATTGTAGAGTTAGACAATCTTGGAGTTAAATGGATTTCACATGTCTAGTCCAATGCCTAATTTAAAACCACATCCTTGCAGGCGCACCCTGCATGAATTCAGGTAAAGGCTCAGCCCTCCAGCTGATGACCCCAGTGCTACTCTGGTTCCCCAAGTCTCCAGCCACACGGCCTCAGGTGAATCCTAACACACGAACCACATGCTGTCAGGTAAAGCCTTGCTTCTTCGCCTCTGTCTTTTTACCTGTAGAATGGCTAGAAAAATACCTACTCTGCTCACTTCTCAGGGCTGTTGTAAGACTAACCGAGATCATCAGTGTAAAGCATTTGTAAATTAACTGTAAGTACTTACAAATGCCAAAGAACAAGATAATGTGCCTTTCACAGAGAAGCCATTTAACCAATGGTAAATGATAAATGCGTTCGTCTTGTAGCAGGACAGCAATTCTATGGTCCATTGAGCTGCAGTGGCCAGAGGGAAATGAGTGAATAAATAAGGGACTGAAGGAATCAATGTGAGCACACAAGCAGTTGCTACTAAGGGAGGGGGCAGGAGGAGGCTGTGCCTGGAGATCTTATATAATTATGGTATTTAACAGTAACACTTGGAGGACAGGGACATTGCCTGTCAACAAGTGTTACGAAAAATGTAAACGAGCTCTGCAGGACTTGGTCTGAAGTCCATGCAGTGAGCTCTAGCGTGCAGAGTGTTTGGTGGTTTACTCTTCCTGAAATTGACGGCATACCCAAGGCACAGGTGGCAGCTAGCTACCTGCCTGCAAAGTGAAGTTTGCACACAGGTCTTGTTTCAAACACATGGTGTTTTTAAGAAACTGGCCTCATAAGAGCCAGGAGGCATAATATAAAAATGAGGACCTCTCACTGCTCTTGAGAAACCCAGAGAGGTGCAGAACTGAGAGAAAATTCTCAGTGGGCTGGGGCTCCATGGCAGGAACGCTCACCACGCCTGCTGGTCTTTACTCCAGGATCCGATGTCTCATGTAGGTCATCTGCCTGAATTGTCTAGAATTGGTTTTGAAGTACACTCTACTGCTTCTTGGTTTCTTTTTGCAAGACTTTAATGAATATCCCACCCAAAGATTCTGTTCCAAATATTTTGAAAGTTACTCAGATTTACAGAATATATGTATCAGATTGTAGGAAACTTACCTAGCTCTCTAAGGGCTGTAAATGCTCTAGCTGGGCCTTATATACTGGTTACCTGCACTGTCTGTGTCAGGTACTGAGTGATACCCCGGGGACACTGTGCAAGAGGAAAACAATAAAAGGAACAAAAGCACAGCCATTGCCCACGACCCACAGTGGCTGTCATGTTAACACCTGTTCAAGTGATGAGGTCAGTAATTCCACTGTTTTTTAAAACAATAGTAAACACTTGAGTTTTTTTTTTTTAATTTACTTGTTTCAAGGACAACAAATCCATCCTTGTCCTCACACACCAGCGCTTGGTGGTCAGGCTCACGATCATCTCAACTGTGCTGAGAGGCCGATGGTGATGCACCTCCCTTCACTTGCTTCCTCGCTCCATCCCACCTTGCTGCAAACATGCCTCGTGGCCCCAGGGGTCCCAGTGGATATGGCCCCATCTCTGCCTTTGGTCCTCCAACAGTAGCCTCCTCAGATGCTTAACCACTTTCGAGGGTCTGTGTTTTCCATTTGGGCTCCATCCTTTTAGATTGGTGGCATTCAACCCTGCAGAGAAAATTCTGGAGCCTGTTATATCACAGCTGTGCCACTGGTTCTGGCTGATGCTTTTAGTGCCTGATGCTTTTCTTAGTGAGGCTCAGGTTTGGGTAACTTTGGGGATGGCAGCCTTTAACAGGGCATATTTTCTGAGTAAGAGCGAGGGTGGATTCTTGATTGCAACTGATAAAAATAATAGTTTTTGTTTCTTCATTATTGTTTTCAATTGATATTTTTGTATTTAATTTGGAAATATTATGTACTGCCCCTCCCAGCCCATTCTTACTGAACCTCAGTCCCCTTTCTGCTCCTCTAATTAATCAGCTACTTCTAGTACACAAGTGCTGCATAAAATTCCAAATGTCAGCAGGAAAAGCAAGAATAAAAACATATATCTAACCACTTCTCACTGTCTGTTATCACAAACATAAGGCCTTTTTATACATGTTTGATGGAAGGATCCTTAGTTCAAACTAAATTCTTACTCTATGCCCATCTGGATGGTCTCAGGAATGCCCATCAGGATACCCATGCCAGTGTGGCATCAAACACAGTAAACAGAAATAAAACACCAGGCACATATTTGTACCAGGGGTCATACAAAGAATCACCATAATCTGTAACTTTAGTTCCCTACAAGTATTAAATTCTGCTCGAAGACAGGCTCAGCTAAGCAAACTTCCTGCCTGAAACCAGCCACATTTCGCATGCGTTATTCATTATGCTGCATGGGCTTATTTCCATCTCAGAAACGCGACTAAGCCTCTCAGTGTGACGCTGGCATTATGAAACCAGACGCTCTTGGCCTTAGGAAATGAAGGGATTTGCTCGCGCTGCAATTGTATCCAGGTGAATGGGCTAAAAGTTATCCACGGCATGGAGTTGGTGAGGCGTTATAACGTTTACTAAGTCACTCTGTTCATTGTGAAGACTTTTGAAATATAAACATCGATACATTAAAATACACTATAAATATAGTTAATTTTTTAAGCTTCAGAATTTTACAAAGAACTTTCTTAAAAGGAATGATATATTTTCTCCTCTATATAATGGGAGAATGTTGGGAGTTCAGGGGAGACGTCTCTCATCTGAGAATTAAGCAGGTGGACCACAGGGGGCCACAGATTTGTGACCCCTTAACCTTTGGCAGGGGGGATGGGACAGCCAAGGGGGCTTCGTGGCCTCAGTGCTACCTCCTCTGTATAAGGGGAGAAAAATGAGACAATGCATATATTTACCCAACTTGTGATGCCCAGAAGACACCAAATAAAGGGTCCCTAGGAGACATCTTTATCAAATACATTATACAGTAAACAATGCACATTCACTGATATTATCCAAATTTATTCCTAAAATATTCCCACACATTTGTGTCCCTCCTTCCACATTTTATTAAGGAAAACACGAGATAGAAGATGCTAAGTAATCTGCCCAAGGAAAGCAGTAAATGGTGCAGACGACATGTAAACCTGTCACCTTATTCTCAATCACGTGCTCTTTTAAAAATGTAAAATACTATAACAAATAAACAAAAACTCTCTCAAAACACTTAACAATTGAATGACCATTGCCAAAGCCCAAGAAAGGTATAAAATAATCAAACCCTTCCATTCTCTCAGTTTCCTCAGAAGCCAAGGGTTTCATGCTTTGGGGTGATGAATCAACTGGGATTTGGAGTCCTAGACACAGGACCCATCCTACCACTGATTAGGGATGGTAACCCACAGTCCTTTAGTCAAAACAGAATGAGATTCTGCATCTGAGGACTAACGTTGGGACCTCATCATCTGTGCAGCCTTAGTCACATCATCTGTCCTGAGGCTCAGCATTCTTCTCTGCATATGGAAAGGTCATCACCCAGCACAGCACGGCTGCACACGAGAGGATTCACTGCAAGCACCTTGCACAGCGTCTGGAACTTGGTGGTGTTAAACATTACACTCACGATGACAATGGTGATTATTACATGAAAGTTGACAGTAAGAGGCCCTCAAGGGAAGCCTGCTGCTATGGACTAAATGTTTGTGCAGATTCACACGTTGAAACCCTAACCCCCCGTGTGGCTGCATTTGGAGATGGGGCCTTTAAGGAAGTTATTCAGGTTAAAAGAGGTCACAAGGGTAGAGCCCTGACCCACTGGAACTGGTGCCCTAGGAAAGGCGAAGAGACACCAGAGTTCTCTCTCTCCACCATGTAAGGACACAAGGAGAAGGTGGCTATCTGTGAGCCAGGGAGGGAGTCCTCACCAGAAAATGACCTGCTTACATCTTGATCTTGAACTTCTAGTCTCTAGAAATGTGAGAAAAGAAATTTCTCTCTCTCTCTTTTTTTTTTTTAAAGATGACTGGTAAGGGGATCTTAACCCTTGACTTGGTGTTGTCAGCACCACGCTCACCCAGTGAGCAAACCAGCCATCCCTATATGGGATCCGAACCCGTGGCCTTGGTGTTATCAGCACCACACTCTCCCGAGTGAGCCACAGGCCGGCCCAGAAATTTCTCTTTTTTAAGCAACTCAGTCTGTGGTATTTTGTCAAAGAAGCCCAAGCAGACTAACACACCTGCTGACTGACTGAATCTAAGTAAATCACTTAACCTCTTTGAGTCTCAGCTTCTTCTGAACAGTGGAAGACGGCAATAATGACCCACAAAGCCCCTTGTACCTTCATCGTCCTGTAATTTTACAATTTATAGGTGAATGGACTCCATCTCCTCTACTTTTCCCCCCGCGGTCCCCACCACGTCTGTTCTCCCCAGCAGGAAATCTCGCCACACTTGCCAATTAGAGCTCTAATCCTATTTGTGCGTCTCCACTGCTCTGTGCTCCAGCTCCCACTCATTGGAACGTCATTCATTAGGGATCAGAGATTCTGGGGACACGGCACCCACCATCATTAGCACTAATTGAAGCCTGGACTCCTAACCCACTGCAGAGTGCTGGCCTCTTTCAGTCCAGTCTCAGGCATCGCAGCTGACAAAAGACCCTTTTTTGGTCCAGGCGCCACAGTTGACAAAAGGCCCTGGTCTATTGACATTAGCCAAGCTGAGTGTGGGACCATCCACGGGGGGCGGGGGAGACGGCAGCTATGCTGTGCACCACCAGGGTGCCCTACAGACTGCCCCAGCATGTCTACACCAGGTTTCTGCCTTTGTCATGGGAGGATGCCCAGAATCACTTTGTGCCCCCTGAACTTACCTGGAAGTTGGGGTTGGGGTTGGGATAAGGCAACCAGGCGGAGCGTGAGTTCTCCTGGTACTTGAAGGGGCCAGTGAAGGCCTGCGAGATGGCACTCAGGTTGAAGACACACACAGCCGAGGCAGCGATGCTGTTGCTGGGCACCGGGGAAGAGAGAGGACAGGCGGTCAGAGAGCCCCACAGCAACGGCTGACCTCCCAGTGACACAGCAGGCAGCAGCTGGGACGTGGGAGTTGCTGTTAGAGACCTTGGGAGCCCAGTCTCTCAAACATGCCAGGGGATAAAGCTGGAGCAGTGAACGGGATTTCCCTGTGATCTCTATGTAGGGGAACATTTCTTCCTTGATATAGAAACAAGGTCAGTTAGCGGTTGTGACACTTGTAATCCCGCCAGATGGGATTAATTCCCTCAGCCACCAAAAGGGCAACACGAGATTGTGAAGAGCACTATTTTGACTTTTAAATTCTGGGAAAAAAAGGTTTTCTCCTCTGTGAATGGGGCCACTCACCACTTTTGTGCAGCTCTTTTCCCAGCCCATTTATCTGGTCACTTTAGTTGACAGAGGGACCAGCTTCTTCTTTTTTTAAATCCCTAGATATCTGTTTTTGTCTTCCTTTAAAAAATAATCAACTCAAAGTATTTTGTAAAAAGTACCTGTGAGACCCTTCGTGTTTTCTGTTTGTTTTTTAATTTAAAAAAGGATTTTAAATTCAAAGGGTCAGGGAGAAAAATTAGATATAGCACTGACATATGAAATCTTGAAGTTTTAATTTAGAATTCAAGCTCTGCAGAGAAAGCTGTGAACGAGAGGCCTCAGAAGGTCAGTGCCCTTTCACTAAGCACAAAAACAGCTGAATATTTTGGTTAAAAAAATTTGCATTTTGAGGTCAGCTCCTGTTCTCAAAGGGAAAATGGGGATAAAAGGAGAAAGCTTATAAATATTTTCTGTATTAACTCTCTGAGGCAATATTATGTCCACTCCTCATCAGTTGATTTTCTTGTATCAAAGGAAAAATCACAGAAACTCCAAAACTGAAATACCTACCTTATATTTGTTTTATTTTATAGACACTGAATAGGTGCTAGACACTATTCTAAAGGCTGTACTAATTCCAATTCGTGTAATCTTCAAAAGGTAAGGGAAATTTCAGATAAGGAAAATAAGACACTTGCTCAAAGTCCCCCAGCTACTACATAATGGGGCTGGACTTGAACCCAGGCAATCTGGCTCCAAAGACCAGGATCTGAATTCTTCGTGAGAGCTCTGTGTGAAGCAGACAGACAGCATCAGGAAGCATCCCCACGGAAGGTAAGGTGGTGAGGACAGAGAGGCGTTTCCTCCAGGAGTCCAGCACCAAGGACAGGGGCCAGCAGGCAGCCAAGTGCCCCAGTGCCAGAGAGTAAAGGGGCGGACACTAAGTATCAATTTATTCATTTTGCTATTTTTATTCTTCTTTTTACTGCTCCTTGAAAAGGAAGAACATGAGAAGTCAAATCACAAGTGCAGGGAAGAATTAGCCTTTGAACATGTGGGTGGACTTTCATAAGAGCAAGAAAACAACTATGCTGGAGTGAGCATGGCCAGACACCCACGACGGATTCCATTCAGGGCTGGCCTGGGCTCTAGTTTCAGCCGGGAAATGCCCCTGGATGTCCCAGTAGCTCCAGTCTCAGCATCCCTCACTGCTGTTAGGGGAACACTTCCTCTTGACCCCTGGTGAGCCAAGCACTGTTGGTGCAGCACTCCCATCTCCACCCCCTCGGCCTTTCACTTGCTGTGCTCTGGGAGGGATGGGGAAGGAAGGGCATGTGTGAATCCACCCCACCCCTCCCCTCCTCCTGGATGGGCCTGCCTGCAGAAAGTACATGTTCACCTTCCCCTCTGGGGTCTCCATCCCTGTGAGCTGGTGAGGCCTGCCCAGGTCTAGACTGTCAGTGACGACCACATAAGTGAGTCCTCTGAAAGCTGGGATCAGTATTAATAAGCTCTACTGGCTAACAGACCCACAGCCACACGCTCCAACCTGGCCTCTACAAGTAATCAAGGTAATAACGTGCCTTCATTTAATGCTCCATTTATTTCTTAACTTGTTTAGAGCCCAGGTAGATAAAAAAAGAAAGGTGCTAGAGAACCTCTTGGTAAGACCAAAAATAGGGAGACTTAAGTTTGCTTCTGTTTGAAGCCATTGGTAGAAAAGAAGTTCCTTCTAGCTCTTCATCTCCTTAGGATCGAAGAGCAATCTAAGCTCCCACTCCCTCCACAACTTCACCATGCATCCATATCTATACATATTTTACCATACTATCTATCTATCTATCTATATATATATATAATATCTATATTAAATACAACAATAGTTGTACATAGCACACTATTTATACTATATACAACTATAATAGTAAGCAACCATTATAGCCAAAACCTCCTGAGACTCCATTTCGGTAACATACTATTTCCCTCAGCCCAACTCATGCACAAGTGGTTGAGAAAACCACACAGTCCTAATGACAAAATGGGTCAGAATGGTTTCCTTTTCCCCCATTCTCCTAGTGCTAAGAAACCTTGACAAATATAAAGAGGCATTCCCAGACCCTGAGCACAAGGCTTAGCCACACCACTGCACCATCTTCTAACTCAGAGACAGGACATAACCAGCTACAACAACATTCACTTTCTTTCAGTGTGAAGCAAGTCCTCTAAAGAATGTGGTCATGTGTTGAGAAGGTAAGATCAAGGCTGAGACATGAGAGGGAGGAGAGGTGGACAGATTGTGGGATTAGAGATGCACGTCTCAGAAATTCATTCCCAAGACAAAGTGAGAATAAGTGTTCAGGAGAGAAAGGAAAGATATGATGGTTCTGTGTCTGCAGGTATAGATGCTACGTGCAGGGGGACTTCTGACATGATGAGTATGTGCAGCAGTAAAAAAAAAAAAATAGTCTGGAATAGTCGGTGTAGTGGACTGAATTATGTTCCCCCCAAACTCCCTGAAACTTGAATTCTGTCCCCCAAGTTTTATGTATTAGAAACTTAGCCCTCACTGTGACTGCTAAGAGGGTGGGAAATCCTATTATGGTAATTCAAAGGTGAAGCCTTGACGAGGTGATTGGATTGTAAGACCCTGCAGTAGTGAATGGGTTAAAAATGGTGGTCGGGGCATGGTTCTTAGGGCTTTGAAAGAAGAGAAGAGTCTGTTCTTCTCTCTCTGTGTCTGCTCTCTCTGCTTCCACCATCTTGCAATGTGAGACCCCTGGGTCACTGTCACCACCACCAGATGGACTTTGGACCTCCCAGCCTCAGAAATTGTAAGCAATACATTTCACTGTCTTTATAAATCACCCAGTTCCAGGTAATTTTGTTATAAGCAATGGAAATGGACTAATACAGTCAGACACTTGTTTTTTTTTACTATCTAAATTGACAATTCACCATTTTGGAATGGCTCAGATATGACACTTAGGTAACTTTTGACATTGGTGGCATTTTTTAGCTTTGTTTTTGTGTTTTGTTTTCATTTTTCCCAGAGCCAGGGGAATGAACAGCTGAGTAAGGAAAGCTCCCCTGTGTGTAAAATTGATGTCAACTGAGTGACTGAGCGTTTGTCTTGTGCAAACCACAGTACTTCTTAAACAAGGTTTTGGAAAGCAAATCAACTTCAGAAACCAGAAATTGATTTAAAAAAGAAAAAAAAAAACTAATCAAGGAGGAAAAATAACCTCTAGTGCAGATTTACAATACTAAAGATGTCATGATGGAGTGAGGGTGGGGTGCAGCCATCCATAGTAGTCTTATTTTTCTACCTTCCTGTCAGAAAGAAGACTTGATGGGGAAAATGTTGTTATCAAGTGAGCATTAACAATTAAGTTCAGCCGTAGAAAGAGCAGGAAGGAAAGGTTAGCAAGGAGGTCAAGGGCTGGTGAAGGGACCCTCTAGAAACACAATTCCTGGGTAGGCTTTGGATACCCAAGAGATAAAAAAGTAAATGAAAAATACACAGAAAGCAGAGCAGACATCATAGGGTGACCAACTGTCCCTGTTCATCCAGGACTAGGGTGTCTTCCAGGATGCAAGGCTGATGTCAATGCTGAAACTGAGATAATCCAGGAAAACCAGGACTGTTGGTTGCCCTACACATTTATCAGCACTTTGAACCCATCCAGATTAAGATCGTTTGCTTTGGATACAAATAACTGGCTTGTGTCCACAGTGTTAGGCCACCAGATTAGAGATTTCAAAGGTGATCCAAAGCAGAAGCCATAGTATGGAATCATCACTAGCACTGGCAATGTGGAAGAAAGTGGAGCTCACAGGCTCAGTGTGTTCTTTAGTTCCTGGGGGTGGGCTGTGCTCTTGCCGAGTCTTATCACAGCACACCAGCTAAGGATGCAAAAGAACTGGGGGGTTATACAGTACTTTGCCAGACTGAGTGAATGTAAGATCAGGAAACTTCGTATGGATTACCCAGTTCAAATATTGTCCCTGCTGAAGTTAGGGGTATCCCACTAAAAGAAAAAAATACTATAATTTTTTCAATAATATTTTTAAAATATAGTTGCCATTTACAAAATGTGTTCTAAAACAATGGTTTAAAATGCAGCTATGGCAAAGTGAGAATGTGCATTTTATCTACGAGAAGGGGTTTAGGCAAGAGTTATATTATCTTGAAGATCAGACTTTCCAGATAACAGTGCCTTCATTATGCACAAATGCATGACTTGCATATTGAAAAAAAAAAAGAAAGAAAATCTTCTAAAGTGTGCTGGAATTTCAGAAAGTGCACAGAACACATTGGAAAATCAAGAAAGAGAAATTTATAATGGAATATTTTGATATTACTATTACCTAAAGACAGATAAAGCTTTTTCGATTAGTTTTATTTTCCTAATATCAATCTCACAAATTACCAAATCACATATTTTCGTCCAACATTTAATTCATACAAAAAAGTCTTTTTATTTTTTTATTTTTTTTGGCTGTTAGCCCAGAAAAATAAGAAAGATTTCCTTCAAAGCAACTTTAAAACCTCAAAGGTCAAAGAACAAAAGACTCATTCAGAATGAGTAAAAGAGAAGGAAAAGAAACTGTTTCAAGCTACGTACACATTGGTGGTGAAGATGCCATAGATCAGATCCAGCTCTGGCAGGAAGAAAGTGCTCTGCAATTCGTTGTAGTAGAAGGGGACCTCCCCAGGGCGGGAGCAGTTCAGGCGCGCCTTCATGAACGTGGTCCAGGTGTCCTCCAGAAGGAACCGTCCCCCAATGTCATTCTTGCAGGAAGAAAGTGCTCTGCAATTCGTTGTAGTAGAAGGGGACCTCCCCAGGGCGGGAGCAGTTCAGACGCGCCTTCATGAACGTGGTCCAGGTGTCCTCCAGAAGGAACCGTCCCCCAATGTCATTCTTGCAGACCCTGGCTGCTCTTGAGAACACAGTTTTTCCACAGTCATGCTCCACAGCATTTTCTCGGAAAAAGAAGTAGGTGAAATTCCCAATGTCGTAAGATGACACGAAGTTTGGTTCTGGAAGCAATAAGAAAGGAGAAAAATCTCAACAACCAGGTGCTATTCCTGGTTTGCTTTGCCGGCTCAGTATGTCTTCCGAGGAGACACAGTTTTGTTTCAGGATAAATGGGAAGCCCTGAAAGCAGTTTAGTGATTAAGCTACTGGGGAACTCAGTGTCACCCAGAAGTTCTCAATGATGGAAAACTGCCAGCATGATTCCACACCTAAGTATCCTTAGCTAAATCAGACTTCATGTTAATAAGACATTAATACCATCAAAAACCTGCAGCAGTATATTTTAGAGGAATACATATTACTTTATTTGCAAATTCTCATATAGCCTTCAGAAAGACAGGGAAAAAATAAGGTTAAAAAGATGAAATGTGATTTAGAATACGGAAGTCTACTGTCATGTTTCTTTGTGTATAAGACAACAAAATTCTCTGACTTATATAAATGTGTATGACAACTTTGACATAATTTTTGAGCTTTTACTAAGGACTGTAAAAATGTTCTTTACTGGTGAAATCTGGAACAAAAACTGCAGCTGTAAGGTTTATGCCTAGAATTAGCTTTAGCAATTCCTGTTACTATGGTGACCATGTAATCGTGAGAATCAATCTTTATTTTCTTATTTCTGTCGATAGGAAATCCATTTGAGGAGGAAGGGTCCTGAGATGGAGCTATTGCCTTGCCACTTTCTGGTCTCATAATTAGCTTAAACGGAGGGATTGAGAAATGACAAAATTATGACAAAGCTTAATCATCAAGCTCATTGGGAATTTAGGAAATAAAGATTATCAACTGAATTTCACATATAGCATTTAAATTATCTTCTTGACTTCCTGTTTGAACCCACTGATGACAGATAATACCCTGTGAGACAAAGATATGCTTTAATATTTATTTTTAAAAACTCTAATGACCAAGTTTGATTCTTACTCTTTTCTCTATTTCTAAGAACTTTCCATTCAATCAGTAAGCATCTGCATTTTATGGTGCAATTAGGGTAATTATGGCAATAACCTCTGGTGTTCAAAATTAATGGAAAGATACAGACAACAGCTATATCCACAAGGACACATTTTCAGGGACAATTAGTTTGTCGGGGCAATTCAATTGGCCTTTAACTTTACCAGATCCAATTGGATTGCACCAATAAACATGTTATTGGCAGGACAACTAAAAATATGTTGGGCTGCAAGACGAGCCATTGATGTTAAGAATAAAATATACAACAGGCTCACCTAAATATAGCCATTGACTTCAGATATTGACACAGAGTTGGCACTGTCTACTCTGCTACTCTGTCCAGAAAGACTGTTGCCAATTTTCCATCAATACATATAGTCAATAACAACACAAAATGTTTCAATTTAAGTCACCTTTACATTTTAAAAATATAACAAATATTCTAAATGGCTTATGTATTGTGTTTTCCCCTTCAGTCCATTATATTGTTAAGTCATTTAAGCACATCAAGTAATACAGAGAGATTTCAACAAGAACCGATTCTAATTTATAAATGTCAAACATATTCTTAGATCGCTGCTGCTTTAATCTGAAAGAGTATATTTTAAAAAAAAAACCTGAATTGCATTAAAATATACAAGATAGAAGTTAGATAAATTTACTGTTATAGAACGCTTTAATATCCTGGAGAGATGGTCATATAACAGCAGGTTATATATCTGTAACTTGTGTTTTTGAAACATAAGGAAAATGTTGGGGAGATTTTTGAATCTGTGTTTACTATGAGTCTCCAAAAGAGGATAACTTGCTAAAGCAGACTTCTAAAGCAAAGACGTAGGGCAATTACAAAACTATATTTGGTGTGCAGAGAGAATATTCACCTAGATTTCTAATTCTAAAGAAAAGGCTAAATCATTTCAGAATATGTTCTATACCCAGACTCATAAAACCAGATTATAGTTTAAGCATTATACTGAAAAAAGTAAACAAGCAAAAAACCATCATTCAACAGTGACAGCAACAACAAAGCCCATCTAAGATGCAGAAAACCAGGAGAGAAGGCGCATGGGGACAGAGAATGTCTAGCCTGGGGCTAAGGTTATAGGCACATGTCCGTGAGTATGAGGCAGAGTCCACCAAGATTTACCAAACACACTCACAGCTGCCCACTTCTGCTACTACCTTGAGGACAAATAGCATGAGAAACACGTAGTTTTTCTCTAGTATCTCTAGTATCCAACAAGTCTTGGTCAGGAAAGCAAGCAGCTACAAACGGAAGAAGATCTGCCATGGTTTCTTCCAGCCTGAGGCTGAGTCTAACAAAAACACAGAAAATATCTGCAGAGTGCTAAGTCTCATGCGCCAGGCTCTGTGCTGCAGGCTTTACATTCCATGCTCATTAAACTCACAAGAACCATAGAGGTAGGTGCGGTGCTCTTCTTTCCATTTCACAGATGAGGACGCTAAAGCTCAGAGGCTTAATACTTCGTCCAAGTTCACACAACTAGCACTGGGGTGGAGGAGGTCCTGAATCCAGACAGTCTGATTTCAGAGCCTCTCCACTTAACATTGCACTACACTCAAAAAATAATGGTCTACAGGAAAACAATCAATATGCTAGCAAGATCCAAGAATATGATTTGGATTTCTGAACAGTGCTTTAGAAACCAAAATGGTGAGCTCTTCGGCAGAGTCATCACATTTCACTGAGAGGGGTAAGCGGTTTTACTCAGGAGCAAGCTAAGGAGGATTTTAGAACCTCCTAGAGGAAATGACAAACGACCAGAGGAAGCTTTAACCCATAGCTATCAAAGACATTAAGAGGGATACGGAAAGAAGGAACAGCGCGAGGTGGAAGGATAAGAGTAAACGAGAACATGGTTGGGAAGAGTTTGACCCAACTCTAGAGACGTTATTTCAAATGGTGCCCACCAGAGCCTCAGGGTGCGGATGAGTGACAGTCAGGGGCTCTATTCCATGTCTGCTGTCCACTCCGCTGAACCGTCTCCCATTCAGGTTTCCTAGACAAGGGGAATACCGTGTAATAGTAAGCAGATTGGTCCACAGCTTCCTTTTCCCACAGAGAGCCTCTGCCACCTCTCCAAACCACCCTGAACCACTTTTTTGACAGATATGCTCAAACACATTTATCTCCTGTTTGAGAAAACAAGAAGAATTTGCTGAAGTTCAGTGTATAGTATATGTCATTCTCGAATGCACCCCATATTACAGGTCACATTGGTCAGGGAGCTGAATGGCATTTGTAAGCACACCCTGCTGCCCCCCAGGGACCCTTCAGAATGATGACAGGTCCCTGACTGTATGGCCTGCTGTTAAATCAGGAAGCTCCATTTCTCGGAAATCAGAGCCTCTTGAAATTCAGCCAGCATCCTGTTCCTTTTCCAAAGACAGTAAAAAAGCAAAAATAATTGTTAAACAGTCAAATATCTCTCACTGGTAGGGGACATTTGACTCTTACCAGGCAGAATAATAAGATGCATGTTTTTTTCCTTCCATTACTTAAGTTCTGTCTCTTGCTAAAATATAATTCACTACAAATTAGTATCTGTCACTCCTGAGTGAACTGAACAAGTCATGACTCAGCACTGCCTTCTCATCTACACTGGATGTGACTGCATGAGAGATCTGAGGGACTCTTTATACACTATTATTATGAGAGAGAGCTATGAACAAATAGAAGGCATGTTGCTAATTGATGTGGAATAAAAACAGGCATGAGTATTAGTCAACTTATATATAAATACATGCATGGAGAAGCTGTTTTTTCTAATGTTCATAAAACGTATTGAGTTATGAATTACAGAGTGCTCTATAAACTAGGTCATGTTAATAAGAATTATGCCTTCACAGTATAAGAATTTCTGTTCACACCTTTACTTGCATCTAGTGATCACACAGATGGGAGTTCTGAGAAGAGACCCCCAATATAAACAAACACAGGTGATGAGAAGGAGAAAAGCATCAAAACTTTTGAGAAGATTTTGACGATATAAAAGCAAATGCTGAGCATCCAAACAAAGCTTTCCATACCAATGACTAAAGCATCAATATGGGGGTGCACCTTGTTCATACAGTTCAATCTGATGATTGACCAGATCACTGATAGGTTCTTAATGTAAAAATACTTATCTAAATAAGTGAGATGGACATTAAGGACCCAAAGGAATTCCAATTTCCAACTCTACAGAAATCTTACTAGAATAAAACTCTATCACAAACTCTTTTGCAATTAAAGGCTGCCTTGCCAAAGGAAGGATGGAAAATGGTTGGGTATGAAGCCTTGGCAGGCTGTGGCTCTGCACCGGGCTGGACCATTGAAATCTCACCTGCTTTATTGTCCTGCATGACAACTGGGGGCACTAAAGACCTAGTCTGCAAGGCTGGAAGGACTAAAGGGACTGGACATAGTAGCATCCCAATAAATGGTGGCTATTAGTATTATTATTTCACAATTTACTCATGATATCCCTGTAAATAACATATTTAATAGAACTTCTAATAATAATAATAATAATGACCCAACATACATATATCAAGCTTAAATGTGATCAGAATTTGAGAAGCATAAATACAGCCAAGCTGAGTTTTTAAAATAGCAGCTATTTCACAAAAAGAAAATCAGTTAATGGAGACAATCTTTAGACATGACACAGAGCCAGAGGTTTTCTGTTCCCTAATTTGTTGGTGTCCATCACAATAAAACCATTTCCATGAGCATTCCTAGATTTTAGACTCTCTTTTATTGCATACCTTGTTTCCATTGTCATAGCTATGTGAAAATATGCTGTCGAGGCTTCCAAAATAAATCTAATTTCACCTAGGTATTTAAAAGTGGGTAATTTAAATAAATTTAAGTTAAATTAAATTAAGTGTGGGTTAAACGCCATTGGTTGACTAAAATTCTTTCCGTGAGATTTCTACTAAAAGACAGATAGATGATTGCTAGATAGACAGATGATAGATACACATGTTTGTGCATGTGTATGTATGTATGTGTGTATCACATACATGCAGGACAGGGGTGTATGTATATATGGCTCAATACTTCCACCTACTGGCTATATAAACTTAGTCAAGTTATTCAACAGCATATTTTCTTTGTTTCCTCTGTTTCGAATGTGGGTAATGGTACCCAATATGCAGTATCATGGTGGAATCAAAGTCAACGCATGTCAAGTGCCTGGCACTTGGTTGTTAATCATCAACATATAGGTCATTAATTATTTAAAATAACTCTCTTACTATACTGGGAGTCTTCGAAAAGTTCATGAAAATTTGTATTATGTTTTAATTCTGTTGTTTTGTAAACTTGTTGAAGTGCCCTTGTATAAATTAATATAAACACACACATTTGTAAAGAGATCATCAGTATTTACTTTGCAAGCTAATTCATGAATTACGCATTCTGCATATCTCATAAGGGTCTGTACTCCTTTTAGTGGGTCTGGGACAAAACATGATGTTGGGCACCAGACTGAGCCCTGAGTGCCAGCCAGAGCACTCCTCCACTGTCAGGCACTTACTGACCTCTTCCTGCCTGGCTGACCTGGGGACTGGGTATTTCCTGGTAAACCAAGACACACAGTCCTCCACCCCAAGAGCAGCATGAGGAGAAAAACAAGATGCAGACCACCAAGTGGTTACACTGATGACAAGGGTGGTGAGGGCCAGGGCGGCGAGAATCAGAAGGGAGAGGCTCAGGGAAAGGGCAGGTGTGAGGTTGGACAGGGGGAGACAGCATCCTGGGGGAGGGAACAGCCTGAACGAAGAAGCTGAGGGTCACCAGGAATGGAACGAAGCCGATGTCAGAACAGAAGGGATCAATCAACAGGATAGGCTGGGGGAGCAGCTCGTACTGAGGAGTTTAGGTTTCAACAGCCACCGGGGAGACAATGAAGAGTTGTAGGAAAAAGCTTGTGATCCAGATTCCTGTGTGTGTGGTGGGGGCGGTGGGGAAGGGGTTGAAGCCACGCACATCCTTAGTGATCACGTGCACGGCAGTCTGAGCCTTGCAGCCTCCAGGCTTTGGGCTTCGGTCACTGAGCCCCTCACACAAAGAAAGCTATCACCAGAACACTTCCAGTAGGCTAGAAACTTGCTTCCAGCAAATTTGATTCCTTCCTTCTTTGAGGGGAATAGGACCTGCTGAAAATGCACTATGTACGTGGATTTGCTGATTCAAGTAGAACAACTTGTACCAAAGGACATGTGCTGACCTCTCCCTCAATGGGAATTACTAGCTCTACATTAACATGCACTGCACCCTGCAAGCCCAAAACTCGCACCCAGAATTCTCCATCTCTCTATGTCCATAGGAGCTTCATTAACTGGATATTTGTGTAAGGGTTCTAGCTCAAAGTGACAAAGACTTCAGTGTCTAATCTGTCCTTACTCCAGCCCAAGCCTCCAGCAGTCCTTACACTCTCCTTAGGAAAGTCTGTCGATCACGCACTCCTAGTTTCAATTAGTTAAAAATAATTTCATGAATACTTGTGAACATTTTTAAAACAGAAAATTTCTATATACCCTATTTTTTCCCAAATAATATTTTAAATGTATAGATTCTCTTCTCTTAAGAATTAACCATTTAATCTGCAAAATCATAAATTAATACTTATGAGGTTTTTAATTGGAATATTCACTTGATTTCAAAGGTCTAAGAAATATTTTAATGCCTATAAAATATTTGGTAAAACTAAAAGAAAAACATGTAAGATTTAATTAGGAGAAGATAGTGAGCTACAAGATTATTGTTTTTATCAGATTTCCTTCCAACAAGCTACAACAGAGTAAATAAACCTGTCTGATGGCTCAAGTTCTGTCTCCTGAGTAGATCTGGGCCAGAAAAAAAGGAAAACAAAAACATGACAGCCAACTACCCAATATGTAGCAGCAAATGCAGGAGGCGAAGGGATAGCAGAAAGTTTAATAGAACGTATGGAGACAAACTTCCTAAAACACATAGAACTGGGCATCTTATAAACACAATGACAATGATTTATAGTCCGAACCAGAACAATTTTAAGAGGGAAGCGAAACAATATTAATAGTCAGGCCAGGACACCAGGAGGGACCCAAGACTATCACTGCTATGACCTCTAGACAATAAACATTGAAGCATTTTCCCAATTGTTTATATCAGTACCAGTAAATGTCTGCATAATGTACAATATTCTTTGATAGTGAGGCATACTGTCTGTGTGTGGATTTTTTTAATGCAGATCTCCCTGTGGTTCAGTATATATAGTTAGTTCCTTTACCCCCATAATA